GAGAAAACTTGTAACATTTTCTGTACAGTTTTGATAATTTGCAGTATTTTATTGTGTCGTAACTATTGTGATATGAGCAGTATTAAATAGAATTTCTGCAGAGATCTTTCCTACTGTTTATAATCCAGTTTTTGCTTAAAGATATAAAAGATATTCCAAAAATAAATCTAGCTAAACTTAACTGTTACTAAAAGTCCTTAATATATTTATGATCTCACGTTTGTAGACAGAACTTCCATTAAATGTTTGAAAAAAGGGTAATGTCAGAATTTTCTATGACATTTTGAAGTATTTATTTATTTATTCGGGTGACATTTTTTATTTGTAGTGTGGCCTTGTTTTGTCTTTATTTTTGGGCACTTTTTGTTCCACATTTCTTGCGCGTTTGCAAACAATAATATCAGTTGTTTTATCATCCAAGCAATACCCCAGACCTATTTGTAAAGACGCTAAACCCTGCTTTTATGATACTGTAAGACCATGCATTTAAATGTAGCACAAACTGAGTGGATTTGGCAAAAAAAGAAAATGGGTATTGCTCACCTTTTATTCCTTTCATTTTAGGAGTCCTAATGGGTTTATTTAAATAGAGGCACCCCAGCACACAGAGATCAGGGTGCTGATTTAAAAGAAAATCTTATTTTCCACTCACATCTTTCATTACTCCAGCTCAGTCTCTTGCTGTCACTGAAACGTTCTGCCATTCTCATCTCCAGTCGGAGCAGGGGAACAGTGTAATCCTCCTCGCTACATCCTCTTTAACCATCCATCACTGTGATATGTACATATGACTGTGAGCGTGAGTCTGTGTTTGTCGAAGAGCAAAAGGTTTGAAGCGTGTTTATCTGTGTAAAGCGTCTGAAAGCGTGTGCCTGCGTGTTGTCCGTGCGTGCTCCACCAGCTAATCCTCGACACTGGGTCAACATCTGAATGAGTTACACTTATTTGTGGTTTTGGCTTGTACAGTGATACTGCATGTTTGTTATCAGTGAAGCTGGTTTCAATTAAAAAAAACAAAAACTCATAAAAAAAAAACAAAAAAACATCAAGATGTGTTGCATGGATTTTTATTTCATTGCCTTTTCAGATCTCTACTTTTCTCTCTTTCGATGTCCATATCAGGCAGATATGATTTTTGTTGTGAACAGCACACTGTCGGTTTGCTTCAGGGAGCCTCGTTTAATCATCATCAATTTAATTTCTCTTTGTTTTTTTTAAGTCTTTCATGTTCTCTAAATTCAAAAGTTCTCATTTCAAACAACTCCACCCCAACTTCACCTTTTAGGAGAAAAGCAAAACGACACGTCCCTGGATTGGTGTTACTATAATTTATGATGTTATTGCTCTTTCTTTCCTATAAGCCATTTCCCACTGAAACACAGTAATGGAATATTGATTTAGTTCAGACAAAGAAAGGAGCTTCTTTCTTAGTGAAGGAGGCCTAAACCCAGTGAATAAAAACATGAAAAGTGAGGTGGTAAATGTGTCTACATGGTTCTGTACAGGAAAGTTTAAAAACATCATATTTAAATGTTTCTTAAGGATACAGCTAGATTTATTGGTCATAAACAAATAAACCACATAACCTCTCAAAATTGATAAAATTTTTATTTTTTCAGGCATCTATTCTTAAGGACTTAAAGAGGAAAATATTGAACATTTTAGTTTAAAATAAATTGTTTAATTTAGTTTTGGTCAATCAATTTCCTAACTCTTTTTTTTGTTGAAACAACTTTACCAAGGTAAAATAAGCACAAACCACTGATGCACTAAATTAAAAACATTTTTTTCTAACCTACAGATTATTGATTGTTGAAATATTAGAAATCTATTAAAAAAAAATCCCTACAAAAACAAGTTAAAGTAAGTAAAAATCAAAGAATAGCCAGAAGTTTATGAGTTTTCTAAAAAAAAAAGTGAATCGAGTTAAACTTAAAAACAAAGGTGGGGTCAGTCAAAGGTTTCATTACCATCCTGCAGCAGAAATATCGAGGGCTTCACCTGCCGTCCATCTACTTGCTGTTTCCACGTCTCTAGTAACTGTCTCTCTACTTTCGTCTTGCTACGACATCTATTGATTGCGGGAATTGCTCCAAAGCTATCAGACGGATCCTGATCTCTGGCACATCATATAGAGCTTTGTGTATTCTTCACTTTGGATTACAGTAAAACTAGGCTGCTAATGCAAAGGGTTCTGGAACTTAAGATAACTTAAAAATTAGTTTAGGTAAATTTTTTTGGCTATCATTTTATTAATCATTATTTTTAGGCACTAGTGGCCTTTATATTTTTGTTGATAGAAAATGATATTGAAGGGAGTGAGAAGACATGCAGCAAAGGTCAACAGGCCAGGACTCAAGCCTGTGATGGTCATGTCGGGGACCAATTTTTAAATATGTTCCTGAACATAAATAAAACAAAAAAGTAAATTTAAAGTTTGCGTCAGTCAGAAAGAATAGATTATTTAGTAAATATAGATTATTTCTAAGATATCACATTTAAACAGAAAATATAAAAAATCTTAAAACCTCCTTTGGGCATATTTGGCAAAGAGAAACACAAACAAAGAAAGTTCTCTTCACCATAACAGAACATTTTTGCAAAGAAAATTGGTCCACAATCCATCATTACCATTCTGAAACATGGTTGTTGCAGCAGCATGCTATGGGGAGGATTTTCTTCAGCAGGGAAGAAGAAGCTGGCAATCATAAAAATCAAAAGTAAACTAAAACTCTTAGGGGGTACTAACTTAAAACTTAAGACTGGGTCAAAATTGTTCTCCTCTCAGGTAGACAACTGTCCTAAACAAACAGCCAGGACTACAATGCTTAGATTAAATCAAAGCATATATGCATATAAAAATAATGTCAAAGTCCAAACCTAAATCCAACGAGAACCTTTGAGACTGGTGATCACTGATGACCTCTAACCGTACTGAACAAACTTGACTTATTAATTCTCCAAATGTTTATAGCTAATGGAGACACTTTACAGTTGGTCTGTTTTGTAAATACCAGTATAAAGAACTGTTATATAGTTTATAAATATTATTTTATAATTTGGAAATGTTATGTAATAAAGATGAAGAGGAGGAAGGGTTTTCAGATGAGCAACGATACGTACTTCTTTTCCTTAATAGTAATAAGGTCAACCTTCCAGTAATATATAGGGGACAGAGTTCGAAAAACAGAAATGGAAAATCATTTTTGACCTCAAAAATTTAGATTCTGAAAAAGGGATGTAATGTTAAAGAGCATCAAAGAAGAAAAAAAAACTGCTTTTTTTGTTACTCTTTAAACATTTACATCCGTATATCTGATTGGCTCAGCCTTGCATTCTGACCACCTCTGCAGCAAACCGAAGAGATCCTCAGAAGGCTGAGCTGCCTGTGGGTTTAACCCATTCATAGGTGAGTTAAAACGCACTGCCGGGGTGATGTGTTGTTTTTTTTCTGCCTTAATGTGGGTGTAGTGCAAAAGTGCTGCTTTATTATCTAATATCCATGTAGTGGGTTTATTATAGCTTTGAATGTCTCCATAAAAAACTGATTCATAAATGTTTTATAAGGTCGTTTTTAAAGATGGATAAAAAGGCGTGTTCCTTTATCATCTTTGTTACCTTGCTATCCTTCTTTTCACATAGAAGTAAAGTTGAAATAATACTTTTAAAAATTATTATTTTAATTATTATTTTATTTATTCATTTATTAACTGTTGAAATAAAGGGGAGTCATCAAAGACCCCACCACCTTCAGCATTTTTGCTGCATTAAGGATTCCCACTTTAAATTTCTGAAAAGCAAACCATACTTCTTGGAACAAAAGAAATTTTGTCCAAGAGAAAATAATTTATTGAAACTTTACGTTTGTGGGAAAGAGAACAATGATCTCTGCTCTTTAGGGTTATTTATATGTCTACAGTGGAGATTAGTTAAATGTTTTTGAATCGAAGTGTAATATGGTAGTGTGATCATAAATAGGGTCCGGGTTGGTGTTACAGAATATAAGCAGCACAGTGGGCATTGTGGGATTTTAAAAGTATATTAGCAGGTGATGATACGTAGGCTATTTGTTTTCAGTAATACTTTGCTTATGTTTTCTCTCAAGAAACAAATTTGAAAAAGCAGAATCCATATTTTATCCAAGCAGTGTATCATCTGATTTTTTTTTTTTGTTGGTTACAGTTCTATTTGCCAGTATATTCTTTCGAGTTAGATGTATCATCAAGATGTTCTTGGTTTGAAACGGGTCAGAACAGCTTTTGACTTTTGAACTCTCTCACTGATTTCTCTATTTCAGGATAAAGATTCTTCAGTCCCACATCCTTAGAAGGTGATATGTAGTCCTTTATAGACTGATAGAAACTAATGAACTTGTTTCTGAGATTAGGACATGATCCGTTCCTTTTTTTCTAATCTTTGTATTTCAGATTGGTCTAATTAAGGGATTTACTCTGTTATTCCACATGTCTAGCAGTAAAGGCTAGATGGTGAATATGGAATCAGCTTTCTAAAAGTATTATTCATTAATTGAGAAATGTTAGTGTGGCAAATGTTTAATATTTTTTAAAAGAATAATGTATGCACTGGAAAAAAAATCTAAATCTAAATAAGTCTTTTTTTTTTCTTTTTTTTTTTTCCATTTTTTAAAATAAGCGCATTTGTTATTGAATTGAGGAGGTTAAAGAAACATTTTGCCAATGGAATAAGACAAATTACAATTAAAATAAGAAAAAAACAATGGCATTATGTTATTTCAAATGCATATTATCTAATTATCATATTTTAAGACTGAAATTACTCAATTTATTTGCAAACCATCTTATTTACCTACTCAAATGAAGGGTAAATTCACTTAATTTAAGAAATGTTTAGTTATTTCTACATTTTTTTCAGTGTGTAACTGAAATATAATTTAATGTGATAACTAAGAGTTCGAGTAGAGTGGTGAATGTGGTGTGATAAATGCTGTAACAACGTTACTTTGCTAAGGATGTATCCAGCAATTTATTTCAAACAGAACAGAATACTGCACATGATTGCATCAGCAGAGGTTTATGCATAGACTTTCACTTGAAAAATAATATACACATATTTTTTAACCTCTCCACATTCCCATAGGTACTATCTGCTTTCTTTCTTTTCAAGTTATAAAGGTTTTTTTTCTGTATCTGCCTTTTTATATTTTTCTTTCTTTTTATTTATTTCTTACATTGTGGCAGAGAGAGGGTCTGATAACAAAGCAAAACTGCACTGTACACGACAAGACGGTCCACTGTCAACACCACGGCTGCATTCTGGATGTATGAGCACAGAGATGAGAATTTTTAAAAAAAGAATAACATTTTTAAGTGCAAATGGAGTCCAGTAGCAACTATGGGAGAGATAGAGAGAGCAGGATAACTGCTAAATGATCAGGAGGTTTAGAAATATTTAAAAGACAAGTTGGATCAAAATGTTGTGCAAGTTAGAAACCAGTTTGGGAAAAGTTTGGGGGGAAAATATTTTCCTGAAAAATTCTACTCACTTTAGAGACTAAATATGGCACAGAGTATACATCCTGCAGTGATATTAATTAGATGTGAATGGGTATGCCCTCCAAATACACCCTTACTGTGTCCCACAATGTCCAAAAAACTCTTAATTAAACAGTTCAATAAATCACATATTCAAATCAGGGACTTTGTCCGATGTAGTAGGACACTATCATCAGGGGTGTAACAGGCCAGGACATAGAGGAGACAGATCTGTCATTAGGAGAGCTCTGCAGGAAGTTGAAGGTGCTGCTGAAGCAGGACTACATGTTTTTGTACATAGAGCGATCTCTTGGGAGCTGTGGCTGATTCGCTGTCAGCTTGAGGTGGAAGTGGTAGATGGTGAGCGTGATGATGATTATCAGACCAAGAATAAGACCCAGGATAAGGGGGAGGGTCTCCTCTAGGTGTTCTCGCTGGTCTGTGATGCACTTATAAGCTGCAGAGAGAAAAAAAGACTTATAAGCAGTGTACAGAGGTCGCAACGCAACATCTAGATTTCTGATGCTCTGTTGGCTTCTGTAGATTAACAGCATGAAGTCAGGTTTTGGTACCATTCAATCTTAATTTCTAGTTTGCTATAACGATGCAGAAACTTTAAGTTACTTTAAGCTGCTGTTATTTGTTGAATAAAATTCTGCAGATCGTAGCAGCTGCTCCAGTTACTGTAGCAAAGGCAACTTGGTTGCTGCTTTGATTAATTTTTTCCTGTCTTGCCTTACAGTTTATGGCTACCAGATTTTTGTTTTGAGAATAAAGTTAAAACCATGCATTGTAGCCCTCCACCAAAACAATATGCACTGCTTTATGTTGATCTGCACATAAAATCTAAAAAGAAAATGACTAAAGTTTGTGAATTCAAAGGCTATGAATATCTTTGCAAGATACTGAAGAATGCCTTGTTTTCTTTTTTTACAGTGGATTTTCAAGCACTGCTCGGCTGTTTGGAGTAAGGAGGACTCCTAACCTCTGATGAGAATAGAGTACAGTATGTATAGCGTAAAGTTGAAAGTGTTTCTCCCTGTGGAAAGCTGTAATACACACAAGGAGAAAGGCAGCGAAGCTTATCCCAGTGTAGTTTACTGCAGCTGAGGCCACATGATTCCTCCAAGGTGATTGGACGACGAATTGCACGCAGTGTTCCAATAAAAGCTCCATCAAAGGCACAGATACCATAAAGTCCTAATGACCTCAACCTCTTTCCTTCCCGTCTTCCTCCCGCTGCGCCCATTTTGTCTCTCGTGCCTCCCCAGCTCTTTCTTTTTCTCATTTCACCCTACATGCTCCCCATACTGCAGCAGTAACTTTCCCTCCCCCCTTTGAGAGTTGGACGTCAAAAAGAGATGTACAGCTCACCCCCCCCCAGGATTTCTCATTACCATCATCATCTGTTGTCTACAACATGAGCTGCAGCATGAGAGAGTATCTTCTGCTGTTCTTACGTGTGCTGAAGATGAAGTCAGAAGCGATGTCAAAGGGTTGGATCTGGATGTCGTACATGGAGACTGTGATGCCCTTCTGGTGGTCGCTGGAGATTAGGGTGACGGTCTGCTGAGCTGTGCATACATAGGAGCGCCCGGCTGGGGTCACCAGGGCTGAGAGCTTGTGGGTGCTAGCTGTGTGCTTTCCAGCTGAAGAAAGAGCAAAAGATGGAACTTGTTCATTAAGGACACAGATGAAGCAAACATCTTTTTATTTAAGGCGTTTCTTCTCAAATGCTGTTGAAATTTGAAATGAAGGTGGAAAATATAATGGTAGGGTGAATATATTGTTTAAACCATCCTGTGATGAAGACAAAAAAATACTCATTAACGATAAATGCTGGTAATAAGATAGACTGATATATATTGATAAACACATTGATGTGGACAGTGCTTAAAGTATACCTGAAACTAATAAAGTTAGAAATGAAAGCTAAATAATCCATTAATAAAATAAAAAATTTAGGCTTGAAGTTCAAAAGTTTTATTAAGGATTTATATTTTCTTAGAACCTTTTAATACATATATGTACATATTTATAAATGTGTTAATCTCCGTTTCATTTGCCTTTAACTAGAGCTGATGGACACTGCAGAACAAATGCGACCAATCTGTGATCACAGCAGTGGAGCCGAGGGGAGGGGGGGTTGCAGGAGCTGCTTATAAAGGGATACTCACGGTTGTATGCGCTGATGAAGTGGGATGTCTCCGAGGTGTCGTAGACGAACTGGATTTTGTTGATCTTCCACACCTCAATTCCCTTTTCACGAAACTCCTGGACAAAAACACACCAATCAATGTACTCAATGATCCATGATTGCCAAATAGTGAATGCAATGGTCAAGGTTGGCCTGAACACTCAGCGGGTACATTAAAAGATCTCTCTAAAAGTTCAAGTCGGGATAAATAGAAATAAAAAGTAAAAGCAACCTTTTCTCATCTCTAGTTATGAAATAAAGGAGTGTTGTAAAATTGTATGATAAAGAGTTGAAAGGGGCAGTTTCTATTGCCGTTGATGCACCTTAGAGAAGTAAATGCGGAGCATATAAGCGTTGTTCCTCCAGGAGATGTGGATCTCTGACTCTGTGCTTCCACATTTCCCCTGGATTTCTGCCCCACGGGGTAGTGTGAAGGATGCCTGCTCTGTGATGAGCTGGAAGAAAAAAGCATCAGAATAAGGACAGGTCGCGCACCCGATTACAAACTATTACGTTAAATAGGCCGATATATTTTTAATAAACTTATTTTATTGTTTCTATTATTCATAATTTGCATTGCACAGTATAAGAAGGAAAATAAACCTTTTTTTCGTTCATATTTTCTGCACTCATTCAAAAGGCTGTTATAGTTTAAATGTGTTTATGAAGTGCTTTTTATATAAATACAAATATTTTTTTATTAATTGTTTTCAATTTGTCAGAGTTGTTTTACATCAAGATGGGTTCAGAGAAAAACCTTAAATCGGGCTAAGCAATGCGAATTTAAATGCACGCGAGGGAAATCCTTACGTCTATCCCATTAAGCGCAAGCACGTCATATGGCACGAGGAATTTGACGGCAAACTCCACCATCAGGCACGTCGTTCCGTTTTCGCGGACCGCGAAGATGGCTTTGTCCGGGTTGTCTGAGAGCCCGGAGAGGTTCTCTCCCTCCTGCTCCGCCAGCACCACGGACAGCGTCAGTACACCTGATGAACAGCACAAACACACCCCGTGGAGAAAAGAGTTGGTGTCTGTCTAGTAACAAATGGTTGGCACACACTCATGCGCACAAGAAGCCACACAAAAAAAGCAGAATCAGCACAAAGCAGGACTGATCAGTGGGTGAAGTCAGCATTGGAATAGAAACATTAAAAAAAAAAAAAATCTGCTGCATCAGAGGAGCAACAGCTCATCACCTGAACATCACGTTGCAATACTATAAAGTTTCCACACATAAAATGCCAGCTCATGGATGTCAAAAAACAAATGCACGTGCACATCATGAGGCACGCATACATGCAGTTGCTACATGCGCGTGCACGTTGCCACTCCGCAGAGAGTAGTCACGACATTCCGGCACACTCGCGCGCTTACCATACACACAAAGCAGCAAAAGTCCGGCGCTCTCCTTGGTGCTGAAATTGAGCCACCCCATCGCTACCAGCTTCCCCGGCGCCGGGAAAAAAAAGGGGGGCTGACTGACTGACTGGGCAGTCTGGGATGAACCCGCGAAAAGAAAAGAGGAACACGGACAGGGAGGGGAACCGGTGAGAAAGAAAGAGAGGGGAAAGCGAGAGAGAGGGAGAGGGAGAGAGAGAGAAAGGAGGGTTGCCTCTATCAGCACCAAGAGGTGACGCTCAGATCATCATGAATGCAGCAAAAGATGCCTCCGCGTTGGATCCGAGATCCGGCACCAACGAGTTCCATCCGTCCGAACCGACCTCCTCACGCCTTCAAGGTGGACAGGTGTCACCCCCAGAAACAGCTGAAAGTCTGAGTTACCTCTAGATATCAGACACATTAAAAAAAATACCCCTCTTCATTTGAAGTGAAGAAAAGTCAACTTCTTTTAGGCGGCGACTGACGCTACTCCCGCAGTGCTGTAGTCTTCATCTCTGCCATAGGAGCTGAAATGATGCACGTCTGGAGGGAGAAGCCGACAACTCCCCCCTCTCCCTCCCCTCCGCTGACAAACTCCACTCCCTCAAGGTTGCAGCTCTGTGTATTTGGAGTGAGAGCTGACACAAAATGGTAGATTCCATAAAAAAAGGAAACATTAAAACACTTAAATTATTTTTCTTATTCAATCTTGATCTTAACTCCATTGGAGTTGGACCAATCCGTCTCAAAAATATGAGCCAACCTTTTTTTTCTGCGCCGTTTCCGAATCCGAAGGTCAGCTTCTGACCATAATCTTTATTTTAGATATCTCTGCAAAGTAGGCTATTATCTTCTTTTTGCAGACTATATCTCTAAATAATAAGAAAAAAGTTAGACCGAAAAAAAAAAAAAATCTGAATCAATGTGTCAGACAAAAAAAAAAAAAACTGATTGGTTAAAAGACTTTTGAGCAGGGCTTCACAACTACCTTCTTTAATACATACTTCAGGGCAAACATTACGCAACCGATTCACAGTCGTTTAAGAGTTGGTCCTTTTAAACTGAAACTCAAATTCGCACTTGACGGAACTGATGCTGTCGATGCTGGGGGTGCTGTCCACCAGCGGGTGCTTTGGGTACTGGGGGAAGGTCTCTGATCGCGGAAAGCGGCCTAATGTCGGCACCGAGTCCTGTTCCAGGTCTCCCTCGTCCTTTTTGAACTCCGGGGAGGTAAATCTGCGGAAGAATTTATTAGTCAATGCTGAGAAAGTAGTTGTAGTGGATGCAGAAGGTGTCATGTTAAACTGAAGTGGTTCAGTCAAGCTGATCGACTCGTTGCGCCTCCTCGCTGTCCTGGTTTTACGCACAGGCTCCACAATGCGCTCCGGGGGTGTAGGACTAAGCATACTAGCTGGCAGACTGCATCTTTTTCTATAATAGCACTCGTTAAATTTTCGCATACGGGAAGTTTTCTCCTTTCCCATCTCAGTATCACGTCTGTTGTGAGGAAGAGGCGTCAGTAAGATGCTTAGAGTGGATGGCGCGCAGGGATGCGGCAGGTTTCTTTTTGGCTGCGGGGAGAAGAACATTGATTTCTCAGCACTGCGATTGTTTAGGAGAGGGGGCAAGTGATGCGAGGAGGAGGGGACCCCTTCCAGGCTGTTACGGTGTTTAGAAATGGGTCGAGGGTAAATCCCTGGCCGGGGAACAGGAGCGCGTAAATCAGGGATGTTATACTGTAGACCAGAGGAGCATTTATTGTTTTCCCTTTCCAGCTCCATCGCTGGCAAACGGCTGGGTTTTATCTGTGGTATTGGACACAAGGTGCGAATCGGAGACATTTCTCCATCATCACAAATTTCGAGAACTTCAAGTTTCCTTGCCAAGCTATCAACTTTTCTCTCAAACTTCCCTCCATCAGCCTCATGGCTCCTCTTGGAGGTGTTGGTGAGCGCAGAAATACACGCTGTGTGCCCCAGGAACTTTGCTACTTCAACTGCGGAGTTTCCCGCTTTGTTTTGCCTGTCTATCTGCAGACCAAGCCTCTTGAAGGCTCTCACCAAAAACTCCACTACCAGGGTGTGACCCGCCACAGCCGCGTACATCAGCGGGGTGTTTCCCCAGGAGTCCTGGATCTCTGGATCTGCGCCGTTCTGGACCAGGATCTTAACCGCGTCCAGGTATCCAATCTCACAGGCATGACTGAGCGCTGTGCGTCCGTTCCCATCTTGATAGTTGACACTTGCTCCTTTCTGAAGCAGAAGCTCTATAAACCTGCAGCGGGTCTGACTATCGGGCAGCAGGACGGAGCAGATGAGAGGCGTCTGTGCGCCGCCCGCTTTGGAGTCAACAATTTCTCCATCCAGCGCGTCCAGAACAAACCTGGCCAGGTGGATTTTATCCTTGGACATCGCATCCAGGAGGATTTTTGTTCCTGTCTGCTCACTAGCTTTGAGCATATTATTTCAACAGAAGCAAAGTTCAATCAACTAAACTCATATGTTTCCGGTGAAAGCCTCCAAATAGAGCCTCCAGCCCTTTTTTATAGTGGAAGCAAAATTTCCCTGCGGCTACTCAGGCATAATTAACTGCTTCTTTCTGCTTTCTAATGGAAATGCCTTGTTTATAATAATAAAGAGCCTCCGCGGTGGCGCGTTAGATGCTTGAGAGGGTATGTTGCATATGAATTCAGCCGGCACTTGTTGAATGAGATGAAGAGAAATAAATTTGGGAAGTAATGATGAGCGCGTACAGTCCACTCTCACCAGGTTCAGGTCTGGAGACATCAGACACAACCGTTCAAACTGTTCCAAAACAAACGTTTCTACGTTTTGATTTGAAAAGTGTGGCGTGCATTTTTAATCATTCCTGTTGAATCCTTTAACTGCAGCTGCGGATCCTTTGTGATTTCTCCTGATTCTTTAGTTTGACTATCTCAGATTGAGTTGGAACAGATGGAGTTTTTAAACATAAAATCCTGTCTTCCTACAGAATCTCAGCATGAATATGTTTTGATCAAACCGGTTTTTATTGTAAGCTTTATTCAGGGTCATTGTTGATGTGAACTGCCACACAGGTCACAGGATTTAAAGGTTTTTTTAATAAACAGATTTCCAGCATTCCCATTTGTTTCTCCCAACTACCTCATGTCTTCTGAGGAAAAGAATCCCAACAGCATGATACAACCACCTCCTTGTTTTACAATGAGGATTATATATTTTAAGTAATTGTCTTCTCTTTTCTTCTGTTACACATTATATGGTTAAGTTTTGTTCTATTTCTCAATTTCCAGAGTCTTTCTATCTTCTTTCTTTGAGTCAGACCAGATTTGTAAAAAGCACCAATAACAGTTGTCCTTTCAGACAATTTTCTTCCTTTAACAGAATTTTAAGGCTGTGGCAGAGTTACCATAGACCTCTTGGCTGCCTCTCGGTTGTTTTAGTACGTTTCCAAGCGTGCTAAAATATTAGTTTTTAGCTACTGTATGGGCATAATCTGGTTCGTCCTTCTCATCTTTCTTTCTGACCTAAGTTATACTTGATTTAGTGATGTTTTCTAACAGCTGCATCTATAATTGATTAAATGATATGATGACTATTTCCTAATCGGTAACTTCGGAATTGCAAATTTTACCTTTTATTTTATTTTTTTACATAAATGTCAAAGTTATCAGGTTTAAGAAAAAAAAAAAACTTCCCTTTCTTCCCCCCCCCAAACATTACACGGATTACACCAAAATCCCCATATGGCAATTTGTTATTGAAATGTGCTAGAGGTAAAGGTGTGTGATGACTTAAGACACAAATGAGGCTTAGGTTGATGTCCCATTTTTACACCTGGATTTATTGATACACGTACTATAAAACAGTATTAAAGGAGCTGGATAACAACAGTATAGTCAATGCTATAAGTCCAACAGTACAATATAAATACAAAAACACACACTGAATGTCTGTTGACAAGCTACAATTCAAATAGAAAACAAAGAAAAGAATGAAACCAGGGATGTTGCTCTGCAAAAATAATCTGCTTTTTTTCTTAGTTTAGGACAAACTCAAGATCCAAAGGTTACATTTTTTCACATAACAGAAACAACTAGTGCAAAAAAGCTTCTAACATAATAATCTTAAACTACACATTATCTAATATATATAATATATATTTATTTATATATACCTCCATACAAATAACCCCTTAATTTGGCATTTAATCATTCATAAAATAATTTAAACATCCTAACAGACACAGAGTGGCACATCTGAAAGCAATGGAATAAACTTTAAAAGCACTTTTTACTGGTTTTTCATCTCTGTCCTAGATATGTGGTTAGAGCTTTAGATTGTGTGGTGTGATGCAGTGAGGGCAGACAGGGAAACACAAAGACGAATGATCAAGAAAATAGGCCAGTGCTTGAACAAATATCCCTCCCCAACATGGCTGTCTGTCCACAAACTGTTCAGGGAAAGAACACAGGTGAATCAGAAAGATGAGCCAGTTAAGTGACCTCCAGCAGAATATATATACATGAACATCTCATCAACCTTTTTTATTACAGCAGAATAAACAGGAAAAAACAAAAACATTTCTCTTCAAGAAACACCCAAACATTAACAAGTGCTTTTATCCCCCTTTTAAAAGTTAATGTCACTTCTGCCTGTGTTATTTTAGTAAACCTTTGGTTTCTATGCTGCGCATCTTAATATTAGCCTACTCTTCATTTGCGATGGTTAGGGCTCTTTTTAAAACCATCTTTAGACACAGAAACGACAATATTCTACTGCACATTTATGTTACGGTCACCTTTTTAAATAATTTGTTTTTATTTTTCCTGATTTGCAGTATGAATCAGAAGTTTAAATACATTCATTTTGGGCACAGATCCTAGATAATTTTTGGACATATAAGATTAGATTTATACATTTAAAATTCAGATATACATGTTCCTTCTCTAATATTCGTTTAAATGTTTTTAGCAAGTTAAAGAGAAAGCACTCTTCTTAATAGCAATGTCAGTGTTTATCTAAACAGCATATTCTCACCCAGTTTTGTCCATGTTTCATCTAACCTTACAGCATAGGAAAAACTCCATCCTACAGGCTAAGAGTTAAATTAACAGGACAAATGCAAGTTCAAACCTCTTGCAATATATCAGTCAACAGTAGATGCACCTCTATCATTCCTTTGTCAAATAAATATTGTATCGATAAAACACTTTAGATATATTTCGGAGCCTTAAGCAGAGTAATGCCCAATGCTTTGTGATTTCTGGGCATTTTTGTAAAGAACATCTACACAGATATCAGACAAGGTGCATGAAGCATTTTAACTTGCATGCATAACTGACACTGTTTGGTGATACTCCTTGAATTTAAACCTATCGACCCAGTTTTTGTTTTTAAAACTAGATGACACTGAACAGGTGAAACTCATCCGTAAAAGTTCAACATTTCATGTCACTCATTTAAAAGAGTGAATATTTTCACAACACATCAGGTTGAGTATTTCACATCTTTAATACTTTAAATCATTTTTTTTTATGATTGAGGCTATCAGATAATAACCCAAATTCAGAAACAGAACATTTGAATATGGTAAAAATCTAAAAAAAAAATGGAATCTCCTGGTGTCGCACCCTAACCAGCTGATTAAGTCACATGCAAATGGTCCCTATGTTTTTGTTATAATTGGTTTCTCAGTCTGCATCAGTAGACATAGTCATAGGGAAGATTTTCCTTCACACACCTTCCACAAGAAAACTGAATGGAAGGAAAAAGTGTGGTAGGAAAAGGTGCACCATCAACAGATAACCGCAGTCCTAGGAGGATTGTCAAGCAAAAATCTTAAGACGAATCTCAGCACATGGGCTACAAATGTCACAAATGTTGCATCAAGCCATGATCTCA